TTTATCCTTTTCCCTAGAACAAACTCAATCCCTTTCCTGAATAACAGATTTTAACATTTGGTTTTTAAAACTGAATTTTGCATTTTAAGTAAATAGACCATTAGGATAGCTAATTTGATAAACAAAGGGGAAAATATTAGTAAAATAGTACTTTGAATAGAGCTCTTCATCTGTGAGCACTGTTTAGGCAGGTCCTTGTACATCAGAGGTAAGCGGTCAGACAGGAACAGCCCCTGTGCACACCCCTCCTCCTACAGCTGCGGCATCTTTTTGCTGCTGAATCCCTCTGTCCTTTCAGCAAGGACCTTTTTTTTTATCTTCCTGATGCCCCCAGATGCTCCAGAACCTCCCCGCTTCCAAGTTTGTTCCGTTTCCCAGTGGGAGCCCTGGGGGAGTGCGAGGGCCACGGAAGGAGGCTTGTTCCCATCCCTTTGGGGATAGGGTGGCGTGGGAGAGGGAGGTGGGTCGCTGCATCTCAGCTCTGCAGCATGAGATCTCTAGGGTGGACGGTGGGCACTGAGGGCCCCAGGGATGCCTTGACCTGTGCAAATACCTTAGAAATCATAGGTTATTTAGGTCAATAAATAATAGTTATAGTTAAATAAACTTCCTGGACTGGCCTAGGAAAGTAAAGCTTCCTTTCTGGATGGATTTGTATGATCACACACATTTCGAATTGGCTGATGAACAGTCTACCCCTCCTTACACCAGTCTCTTTGGAATCAGCGCCTCTCTCCACCCAGCGAGGCAGCCGAGAAAACCAGACTGTGGCCTGGACACTTGCCCCGCCTGCCCCCAGCTTCTGGTCCAGGCCGGGATGTTGCTCGCTGTGCTGTGCTGGCACCTGCCCTGCGCTCACTGCAGAGCGGTGTGTGCTGCAGCTCCCATCCACGCAGTCTTCAGGGGCTGTTGAGTCTGTCTTTGCTCTCTCTTGAAGCTGACTGCCTCTTGCAGGCCAGTGTTAATACCTCATCCGTGCCAGTGTCCCCTCTTTGAAGGGTCATCCCTTTGCTTCTCGCCACCCACCCACCCACTCTCCCGCTGCAGCCAAATCTGCCGTCCAGAGCATGCACGTGATCATGGCGCTCCTGTGCTCGGCATTCCTTTATGGCTCCCTGTTGCCTCCTGTGTTAAGACAGGATGCCTCAGCACAGCACCTGCTCTAGAGGGAGCCCCTGGAGGCAGCAGGACTGAGTGCTCATGGCCTGGGACACAGCCACCATTGGTTAAATGAACATGTGAGCCTTTTCCTAGGCTTAGGAGTATCTGTGTACAGATGCTCCCTGACTTATGGGGTTACATCTTGATAAACCCCTCATAAGTCAGAAATGCCCTAAGTTGAAAATGCGTTTAAAATACCTAACCTCCTGAACACGATAGGTCAGCCTAGCCTGCCTTCATTTGCTCAGAACACTTGGGTTAGCCTACAGTTGGGCAACACAGTACGCTGTAGAGTGCCAGTTTACCCTCGTGATTGCATGACCGACTGGGAGCTGTGGCTCACTGATGCTGCCTGGCATCAGGAGACTCATGAGACCCTTCTTATCATATTAATATTATTATATAATATAATAAGATTATAAATATCACTGCTTTCTACCGAGTGTGTGTTATTTTTGCACCATCATAACACTGAACCAGCATGGGTTGGGGACTGCCTGTACTTATTTAAGTGTGGGTATATATGTGTATGAATGGAATCAGGGGAGCAGTGGGAATTGCTAAGTCTTGTCAAAATCTACCCTCTTCGGTGCCATGTATATAGATGGAAAAACAATTATTGAGGTGAAGTTCACATAGCATAAAATCAGACAATTTAAAGTAAACAATCTGGTGACATTTAACACATTTACAATATTGTGCAACTGACCTTTTCCATCTAGTTCCAAAATATTTTCATTCCCCTAAAAGAAAACCCCATACCAATGAAACCGTTGTTCCGTGCGGGAACCTGAGATGAATGAAGGTGAAGGTTAGTTTTCACTAGCACAGGACTTTAAATCAGATCTGGGCTTCTCTGATAAATTAATTACTAAATATTGTTTTTAGAAAGTTCATCCAGAGTGTCTATTCCTCTTGGCTTCTTGGTGGGTTGAGTACTGCTGTGATATGACTTGGAACATGGTTCTCGTGAGTTACGAGTTTTGTGCTGTGGACCTGAACTTGGCCAGGAATGTGTAAAAAGCTATATAGTGTGATTTAGAAATAATTTTTAAAGTAGGTCTTTATTGGAAATAATATAAGAAAATTTGGCCCTGTTAGTATATGTACTGGTTAATTGAGATCTCTGGCATACTTTAAAACCAGCCTCAGACTTACATTTTAATCTGTATGACCCTGATTAAGAAATTTAATTTTTCACAGCCCTCGTTTCCATAACTACAAAAATACATGGATTGGAAATCTCTTTGGACCTCTTCAATCTAAGCTATGCTGATAGGATCTTTTGTGTTTTAGAAAATTACCAAAATATTTACAGAACAAGAAAGGCCAAAGCGGCCCCACTGATCAAAGACAACCCCTGTTAATATTTTGGAGCATGTATCGTTCATTATCTATTTTAAAAAGCAATATATGAATAACAACACAAATGCAGTGATGATAAAAGATGCAAACACGCAAGAAGGGTTGGGAGTGAAAAAAGAAAAGGTGTCTGCTATCGCCGTCCTTGTCCCGGGGCGGCACCCTTATACTGGTCTGTGACTTTCTGGATCCTTTACCACACATGTAGGAGGGTGATTGAAATTTTATTTTCTTAGCATTATGGGGATAATTCTAAGCTTACTGTTTTGTGACTTTTTTTTTCTTTAATTACACCATTTCTTGGAGTTGTTTCCTTGTCAGCGTATCAGCTTTATTCTTTTTAATGGTCGAGTATTGTTTGCTAAATCGATATACCATAATTTCAGTGTTCGTCTTTTTGATGAACGTTTAGGTTGTCCGCAAGTATTCTCTATTTCAAACAGTGGTCAACCTCAGATGTACATAGCACTTGCATGGATGTTTCTAGAGGACAAGCTTCTATAATTACTGAATCCAAGAAAATGCTTGTTTTAAATTTCATTGCCAAATTACCCTCCATAAAGGCCATTCTACCAAGAACATGTTCTTTGCAAGGACACAGAGTAGCTCTCCTGATCAACACCAGATTCAATTTTTATTTCCCCCAATTTATGCTAAAAATGAAATTTTATTTTAATTGTCTTTTTTTTTTTTTTTTTCTGAGACAGAGTCTTGCTTTGTTGCCCAGGCTAGAGTGAGTGCCGTGGCGTCAGCCTAGCTCACAGCAACCTCAAACTCCTGGGCTCAAGCAATCCTCCTGCCTCAGCCTCCCAAGTAGCTGGGACTACAGGCATTCGCCACCATGCCCGGCTAATTTTTTTGTATATATATTAGTTGGCCAATTAATTTTCTTTCTATTTATAGTAGAGACGGGGTCTCGCTCTTGCTCAGGCTGGTTTCGAACTCCTGACCTCGAGCAATCCGCCCGCCTCGGCCTCCCAGAGAGCTAGGATTACAGGCATGAGCCACCGCGCCCGGCCTTTTTTTTTTTTTGACATGGAGTCTCGCTCTGTTGCCCGTGCTAGAGTGCTGTGGCGTCAGCCTAGCTCACAGCAACCTCAAACTCCTGGGCTCAAGCGATCCTTCTGCCTCAGCCTCCTGGGTAGCTGGGACTACAGGCATGTGCCACCATGCCCAGCTAATTTTTTCTATATATATTTTTAGTTGGCCAATTAATTTCTTTCTATTTTTAGTAGAGACGGGGTCTGGCTCTTGCTCAGGCTGGTTTCAAACTCCTAACCTTGGGCGATCCTCCCGCCTCGGCCTCCCAGAGTGCTAGGATTACAGGTGTGCGTCACCGCGCCCGGCCTAATTGTCATTTCTATAACTTTAAATGAGGTGAAACATCTTTTCATGTGTTTTATTGTGTATTTTAATATTTCTTTTGTGAATTATGTATTCTTAGCTTTTGCTTATTTCCTTTGGATTATTTATTATTGATTTGAGGTTTTCTTTATGAGTTATTGACACTAACCCTTTTTATATATGTCATACTGTATTTTCTCCTAGGCCATCAGTTGAGTTTTGCTTCGTTTTACTGTATTTCACAATGCCAGAATTTGAACTTTTTATATACTTTGTCTTGTTTAACCTGTATTTTAAAAATGTAGTTGTTACCAGTATATATGTACAATCACCTTAATATCATTAAATATACACTTTCCCTTGATATTACAAACTCTAAAAATCATTTCCCTTGTAACATTCTGGGTGTAAATGGTTTATAACTAGTTCTTTGAGTGAAGGTCTTTCTTGTTTTCAGTATTGTTTCTTCTGGATAGATTACTGGAAATAGAGCTGTTTGGCTTAAGAGTAAAAATATCTTAAGGTTCTTGCTCCAGACTGGCAGAACCCAAGATTGTTGCTCACAGAGGGACACGCCAGTGGGCTAGTTTACTTAATTGCAGTGGGAAAGGAATGAATAATGAAAAGTCACTGAGTAGATCAACAGCAGTGCTTGAGTCTCTCTAACTAGCACATTTCTCCCTTCTGGTGGTGCCTCATGAGAAGTCACCCTCCAGTGGATACTTGGAGATGGATCTTAACCAAGGTAGCTTAGGTTGCCCACTCAGCAAGGGCCTGGTCGTAGTAACCCAGCAGTGCCCCCCTTGCCCTGGAGGGTGCCAGGGTCCCTCCCATTGCCGAGGTTTCTCTGGGATATTCCATTCCTCCTGTCCCCAGCTGAGCCTCTTCCTCATGCAGCCTCACCGTACGGGACATGGGGTACACTTCTCCACCACCACAAACACACACCTGGTCACTGTCTCATGCTCTCCATGAGTTTAGGAAATCCCCAAACTTTTCCACTTTGACAGGTGAAAAATGCACAGTGTGAGGCTCTTAGCAGAATTACAAAAGGCTTTTTTGAGGGGAAAATGTTTCTATACATCAGAGCAGTGTGTGCTGAAGTTACCTCTAAATGGAACGTTTCTCTTCAGGTGGTGATAAATGGAGGTGCCACATCCAGTGGTGAGCAGGACAATGAAGACACGGAGCTCATGGCGATCTACACCACGGAAAATGGCATTGCAGAAAAGGTACCCTTCCTGCAACCCCCAACCCCAACCTCCCCCTCCCCCCCAACTCTCCCACCACCCCTGCCCCCATCCTGTGCCAGGGGACCTGGGTGTCCTCCATCTGGGGGCTGGGTCTCTACCCTCCTGAGGGATTGTGTTCTCTTTATAAAGGAAACAGGAGTCAGCAGGAAGAGAAGTTACTAGTTTTTCATGACAATTAAAGGGAGAACCATACGGGAATTATCATCTAGATATCTTAAAAAGCCTTCTCCAGGATGCCTGAGGGAAGTGGTTAATAACCTGAGGTCTTAAAGTCTGGTCTGGGTGCAAATGTGATTCAGACCCTGAGGGAATTACAGAAGTTCTCTGGGCATCAGTTTCCTCATCTCTAAAATGGGAATCAAATTATCAGCATCAATCTTAGGGGTTGTTGTGAGGATTGAATGAAAGAATATTTATAAAGTTATTAGCATCGTGCCTATTAAATACTACATGTGCAGTAAATAAGAGAAACTGGCAGGTAGTTTACGTAGACTGTGAATGCCTTTGATGGAGCTCTTTGGCTAAAACAATGGAAATCACATACACTAAGGTAGGGAGATTTATTTTATTTTAGTTTTTATATTTTGCTATGTCCCATCTTCTTGAAGGGTCAGTGTTTGTGACCATAAAAGGTGGGGAAGGAACTGCCCAAAGGGTATCCAGATACCTTAATTTTTTTCCTTTGTATTTGCCACAGTGCTTAACACATATGAGAAATTTGATGATATGGCATTTCCAGATTGTATTGCAGCTACGAGACTTCTCGATTTCATTTGAAATTTATTTGATAGACTTTAATTTAAAAACATTTTATTTTCACTGTAAATATTTACTAATTTAAGCAAAAATAATTTGAATAATAAGACATTCTATACTTGGATATTCATGCAGTAAATTTATAGTGTAATCACTAAAATGGTAAACAACAAAGAAATTATATTGAAATTCTAGGGTAATCAAATTTTTGTGCCTTTTAAGAAAATTTCCAATCTGGGGGATAGAAATCTCATTTTTTTGCCTGTCTTGATGAATATTGCTATTATTTTCCTGCTATAGAGCTATTATAAATTATAAATGGAGATTAATTAGATTCATGCCAAGATCTTGAAATGCCAGGAGTTTGGGGTCCAAGCTTCTCCGGAGAGGTTAGAGCAGTGGCGGTTGGTGTGTGGCCTTGTGCTGTAGACTGCAGGTCTACAGTTCAGACACTCTTCACACCACTGGGCCTCAGTGATCATCGGCACATCTCGTAGCAAAGTGCGTTTTCACAGATTGTGGAAGCCACATCTGATCCTGTGTACCATAATTCCAGGCTGTCATATTTTCAGACTTCCTCTTCCATTGTCTGGGAAATATCTTTCAAAATAAATAGTAAGGAACATTAACACATTGGGGCTTTTTATCTTCTATAGATGTACCTTTTACTGATGGTAAACATTGATACATTTGCATTTCCTTCGATATTAGTGAGATAGCATATCTTGCTATTTTATTGGCCGTTTTATGTATTGGGTAGTGCTAATAAATAGGCCGGACGCTCACCCAGATGCTTTTAAGACAGCCTGTCACATTGACATCCTCATAGGAACCCTATTAGAAAGGTGCCATCACTATCCGTGTTTGAAAGATAAAGAAAATGCAGCATTTAGGTCCCCTGCTGTCTCAAATTCGTGCAAAGAAAACTTCTTGCGAGAGGGTGCTGCTGTTTGGGATCTTGCTTTTCAGATGGCATCGAAAAATTCTTGTTCTTAAGAAATAAGCATGGGACATTCCAGGAGACACAAGAAAACCGAGGAGTAGAGATACTGCCCCTCATGGTCTCCCTATTCATGTTTATTTTCCCAATTATAGTTAGCTGTTAATTGTTATACATTTATTTTATCAAAAACTTGATCTTTACAGCATGTGTTATTAATATTCTTGAACCCCCTTATGGTAAATGCTGGTTAGTATGGTATTAGCTACAAGATACCCATCTTAGAATTCGCCTGGAAGGATTTATTCCTAGAAGGATCTGAAGGATAAATCCACATCGTGAATCGGGTGGCGTTGTGGCCCCCACCCGGCACATTCTGAGCATTGACCTCACTGTCACTGGGATTCTCAAATCAGGGGTCTCAATGGAATTGAACTTCACAGCAAGGTTCTTTGGAATTAAATGAAATGAATTAAGTGAACAGCTTATATGTTCCATTGAAATATCATTGTTTTGTTTTATGGATTCTTCACAAAATTTGCCTATAGGATTACTTAAAATGGTTCCTGTGGTACTGAAAATCATTAGTAACTATTTCAGAAAATTTGTTGTTTCGGTAATTACTAAAAAGCAACTCTGCTTCTTTGTGGAAGGCCAGGTAGCATGTGGGCCAATGTGGCTTTTGGGGAAAGCCTGTCTGTGTTTAGTTCCTGAGCACGTCACTCGCCTTCTCAGAATCTCTGATTCCCCAGCCATAAAGTGAGATCACAACAACTTATAACCTTCAGGGCCACGGCAGAGAGTAAATAACAGAGTGTAAAATGTGATGTTTTACATCACAGGATCTCAGGAAGCAGAGATTGCCACAACCTGAAAGATGGTCACCTATTTATTAATAACTAGTTATTAAAGAGTCTCCACTTGAATGTGCTGCCCTACTTACCACTGCACTCTTTTGTTGCCCATTGTTTCAACTGCATAGTTGCAATTATCACAAAGTTTGTTAAATGTAATATGAACTTATTATTTTGAGAGTTTTTTTTTAAAGTTCAAAACCTTTTCTGACCTTGATCCCTGTGGATTCTCCATCTTTTATTAAACTACCAGCTGTTCCTGAAAAATGAAGTTCTCTTGAACATGCTTATTTAATAGTAAACAGTCCAAAAATATATTAAGAAAGCTTAAAATATGCTCCTCCATTATGTAACATGTGGCTGGCAATCTGGTATAGTTTGAGCATACCAAATTTGAAAATCCCAAATCAGAAATGCTCTGATATCTGAAATTTTTTGAGTACTGACATGATACTCAAAGGAAATGGTTGCTCATTGGAGCATTTTGAATTTGGTTTTTTTGATTTTTGGTGTTCAAGCAGTTAAGTATTACAAAATCGGAAAAAAATCCAAAACACTTCTTATCCCTAGCATTTCAGATAAGGGAACTTAACCCATATGTGCATTTCACACCACTTTGTGCACACATAGATTCTCCAGATGTTAACATAATTGCTTAGTCATTCTTTATGTACATGTTATCATTTCTGAGCTTTTTTGAAAGTTACAGGCATAACATTCTTCTATCCCTAAATACTTCATGTGTATTTCCTTAAAACAAAGATACTCTCAGCTGGGGGCAGTGGCTCAGGCCTGTAATCCTAGCACTCTGAGAGGCCGACATGGGAGAATCATTCAAGGTCAGTAATTTGAGACCACCCTGAGCAAGAATGAGACCCCATCTCTACTAAATATAGAAACAAATTAATTGGCCAACTGAAAATATATAGAAAAAATTAGCTGGGCATGGTGGCGCATGCCTGTAGTCCCAGCTACTCGGGAGGCTGAGGCAGGGGGATTGCTTGAGCCCAGGAGTTTGAGGTTGCTGTGAGCTAGGCTGACACCACGGCACTCTAGCCTGGGCAACAGAGTGAGATTCTGTCTCAAAAACAAAAAAAAACAAAAACCAAAGTTACTTTCTTTTTTTTTTTTTTTTGAGACAGAGTCTCGCTTTGTTGCCCAGGCTAGAGTGAGTGCCATGGCGTCAGCCTAGCTCACAGCAACCTCAAACTCCTGGGCTCGAGTGATCCTTCTGCCTCAGCCTCCCGGGTAGCTGGGACTACAGGCATGCGCCACCATGCCCGGCTAATTTTTTCTATATATATCAGTTGGCCAATTAATTTCTTTCTATTTATAGTAGAGACGGGGTCTCGCTCTTGCTCAGGCTGGTTTTGAACTCCTGACCTTGAGCAATCCGCCCGCCTCGGCCTCCCAAGAGCTAGGATTACAGGCGTGAGCCACAACGCCCGGCCAAAGTTACTTTCTTATATTACATTAGTTCAGTTCTTAACATTCATCATTTAAAACAATTTTTTTAAAGTTTGGAGATAGAGTCTTGCACTGTCACCTGGGCTAGAGTGCAATGGTGCCATCATAACTTACTACAATCTCAAATTCCTGGGCTCACGTGATCCTCTGCCTCAGCTTCCCAAGTAACTGGGACTACAGGCACGTAGTCCACACCCAGCTAATTTTTTCTATTTTCTGTAGAGATGGGGTCTCACTCTTGCTCAGGCTGTTCTCAAACTCCTGACCTCAAGCAATCCTCCCGCCTTGGCCTCCCAGAGTGCTAGGATTACAGGCATGACCCACTGCACCTTGCCCTAGTTATGTCTTTATTGTTTTTTTGCCCATTTTATCTGCCATAAATTGAGAGAGTAGTTGTCTGTTACTGGTATTTAAAAAAAAGTTCTCCTATTTCTTTGATTTTTTTTGCTTTGTAAATATCACGTCTCTTACTTGTGCACAGATATTTACAACATGTTTATAGTGTATTGTGCCCTTTTAATTTAAAACAGTCTCATTTTTCTTAATGCCTTTTAGGCAGAATACTACCTTATTTGATGATAATTGAGACTTTATTTACATTTTTCTCCTATAGCTTTGTTCATACTTTTCAGCCTTTCCCAGTCACTTTAGGTGTCTGTTACATTCAGCATGCAGTTTTGCTTAGAGAGTGTTAAAATATTGTTCTTTTAATAGTTAAGTTGAGAGTATTTATGTTTGATATGACAAATGTCTGCCCAATTGACTTTATTTCTCTGTATATATTAATAGTTGTGATATTTAAAAACATTTTTTTTTTTTTTTTTTTTTGAGAAAGAGTTTTATTCTGTTGCCTGGGCTAGAGTGCCATGGCGTCAGCCTAGCTCACAGCAACCTCATACTCCTGAGCTTAAGCGATCCTCCTGCGTCAGCCTTCTCAGTAGCTGGAACTACAGGCATGCGCC